TGGCTCCTGTCATTATCAATGGTTCCAACTCTACTGGTAAAATAAAATTCCCCATCTTTTATCAATATATAATTATACAGGCAACCCAAACCACAAACAGGGTTATATACAGTTCCAGGACATCTCTAATAGGATTCTTACCATGACTGTAGGTATTTTTATTCTTTGGTGTTGTTCTCACTCTGCCAGCTGACATCCCTCTCTTCATCTGGAAACAATGCATGTTTCAAGGTATTTTTGAATTCTTATAGTATCATATTAAACATCGACTTGGTTTATTAGTGCAGTTAATAATTTGTCATAAAATAACTGTTGATCAAAGAAATGATTTATTTGACAAAAAACGTTTCAATTCTTCATATTATTATTGTAGGTTTATTACTCCCCGGCCCTGTTTGTTACATCACAGCACAGGCACTATTGATTATTGCAGTCGTTGTCTTCATGGCGGTTTTGATGAGAGAGTTTCATCGCTTAAAAGAGGTGTGGAAATATTTTCATTAGGGTGTTGCCACAAGTTGTTCAATTCCATATAGATATTTGAATTTCTGGAACTAAACAATAACCCCCACTCCTTTGGAATTCCAATCCCTCTCCACTTTCCCCTCTATGAGTTCAGTATGGATATCTTCTTAAACTACACAATATACCCTCCCCACCTCTTAGATAAACACAAATCAGGCCTTGAGCAACTGGGCCCATTTTAGAGTAAAATGTAATCTAAAAAGTATTTGTTACCACAGGAAGCCCAGTGGAATGTGATTGACCAAGCCGAGTCCTACTACAACATCACAGAAAGCATGTAAACCATTCAGATCTACTAAACACTTGAAATGCAAATGCAGCTATCTTACGTCATGCAATGAATGATGGGATAGCCCAGGGCCCTCTTTCTGATTGACCCATGAATTTGTGTAGGTATTAAAAAGTAGTGAAATATAAAAAAAACCCGAAGGCATTTCACGACTGTGATACCACAGGTATTCCAGTAAAAACACTAATGTATATATTAATTAATAATATAATGTAAGCTGCCATTTTATTAATGAAATATCATCATTAAATATTAATCACAATTATTATCATATTTTGCTGTTAGTCTATTTCCTTATCACATAACTAACACATTCTTTACTTTAATGTCCAGTATTTATGAGGAACTAATCTTTTTTTCCTAAAAAGAATAAAATGATTTTCATCTCTTGACTTTAACTTCCTTTTTAAATACTTTTCAACAAAGCAAGCTCTTTTGGCAATAATTTAGACTATATTATGCTGTAGCACTGGGAAGAATGATCTTTTGTTCGGTTGACTGCCATGGATGGTGGCATCTTTCAATCTTCTCATAGTTCAAGAGTTTTAAAGATGACTTTCAGAGAGGATTCGTAATGTGTGTAACAGGTATCAAAGTTCACAGTAACTGTGTTCTTAATTGTAAGTCATGGAATATCAGGGTCTTCCATACATTGATGATTTACGTATCATGGACTGAGGCGTGAGTGAACACTTTAAAATCATCATTTGTAGAGGTATTGTTAGCCCTTTGTAAGGAAATACAATAGCAAGACACTAGAGTGCTCACACTAAATCCGTGAAAAAAATACTAATTTTTAGCACTAAATAGTGATATTTAAACAATAGGAAACAAAGGATTCTGTATTAAATAGTACTAATTAGTACTATTTAATGTTCACAGTGTTAGTGCGTGCACTCTAATGTGGTATTGAGCTTAACCTTATTTAAAGTCTATAACATTTTCTGATTGGCCAAAAACCAATAAACTATTTCCCCATGGGTTGCACGCTCGCTCATGCTGAACTCACCGGGTGCTCTCCTTTTTCCTCTAAATTTTCAAATCTGATGACATCAATAGCGCGCGCACGATCGAGAGGAGTGATAACCTACAAACTATTTCCCCATGGGCTGCACGGTTCACCTTTTCTTGAATCTAACTATAATTATCATAAATCAATTATACATCAGAAAGTCGCTCGCCCATTGCATTATAGATGCACTTGAGAAAATAATAAATCTTAACGAGCTAGAGTGCACTTGGCTACGCCTCGTGACACTCTTAACACTTGTTAATCGTTCTTTATATTTTCTCTTGTGCGTCTATAATGCCATGGGCACGCTACTTTCTGTTGTCTAATTGATAAACAGTAGCAGAATAAACCAATAAATATTGGCTTCACTGATCTGACATCTTTACTTTAGCCTGGCATTGCAGGCTAATTACCCATACATTGTAGATACATCAACATGTCTTCTGGTGCATACAGTATTGCAATGCCCATGCTAGTACATGGATTGCCTGCTCCTTCTAACATCTTTGATACAATAGATTGTCTACAATGCCTGATCAGCTTGAATTGGTAGCATATTTCCATGTTTGACATAGATTGCCTGATCTCTCTGAACCTTTACTATCTTTTGAGACATCTGCTCGTAGGAGAGTCAAAGGCCTTGTAGACTCGGGATTCTTGTCCTGTCTGACACTATACAGTACATAGCACCATGCTTGATGTGGACTTTCGTTGTCTGTTCTGATGGTGTGCATATAGTACATTAGTACTTTTGAGGGTTTATAACCTTTTGTTCCCTTTCTTTGTACGTCATCTGTTAGTACGGGATGCAGCTCGGACCTTGGCCATTAGATCCTGGAAAAATTGTTRATAGTTTGAGATACAGATGGCCTTTTCTGACTTCAACAAAAAGGGGGTATATTCTGGTAGTGGTTAAGATGCTAGCTATATCAAATTACACATACACCATACGTTCCAAGCTTGGATCATATATATATTTAAAAGAAATGTTTTGAGAAAATAAATAAAACTCAAACATAAAATTATTATATTATCAAGTGAGTGACAAATGGTCTAAAATGGAAAAAAACAATGCACCCAGACCAACAAGGTCTATAGTATTGTACTGACCTGAGTAGCCTTGATGATATCAGGCGACGGTGCTCCTACTCCAGATAAGAGTGCACCATCATACTTTGCCTTTTTCTCTTCAAACATGTCGATTCTATAAGTAACAAAACAGAATTAAACTAATTGAAGGTACAGTACACCAAGAAAAAGATATTAAAAGGTACAAGATGAGATCCAGTGTACACGTTGCTGCTACTTTAGGGTGAAAGAGTAGAATAAAAAGATATTAAAATGATAATCATCAAACACTGTACTTCGTATCACTTGGTCTTTTGCTTTCAGTAAAATGTCTTCTTGCGCTGCCATTACTTTCAATGCTTTTCTTGTCTGATCTGCAGTAACAAACAAGATTTATAACATACTGTACTTACACAATAAGTCATAATATTATTTATAATGTTCACATACTCAGAGCCTTTGTTTTGTTCCTCGGCTCCAGATGTTTTCTTCAACATACTAATGAACAGCGATGCTTTGCGCTTTCTTTCTATTTGAAGCTGTTTTTCTCTTTGGGATTGGGATTCTACTTCTAGTCTTTGAGCTGTGAAACAAAATAGTATTCCAGGAATCGAAAATACTACGCTAATGACAATGATATAATAATAACTGGTATTATCATCGTCATCATTCAGCATCATCATCGCCATCATCATGATTACAATTAGTATTATCATTTTTATCAGCATCATGGTTGTCAGTCTTCTTTATTCTCTGTTTCACATTAACGTTTTTATCACCATCATCATCACAAATTGTCATCATCACCATTGTCATCATCACCATTGTCATCACCATTATCATCATCATCACCACTATTGTCATCATCATCATCATCACCATTGTCAGCATCATCACCATGGTCATCATCATCATTGTCAGCATCGTCATCATCATAATAACTTTACCTTCTTTTTCTGCAGCTTCTATTGATTTCATCTGCATCTCCAGATCAGCAACAGGTGACCCTGTGTTAACGTGTGTCTCAATCTTCTGTTCTGTCCCACTTGATTCCACTTTCTCACTTTCATTCCCATTAGAGCTTTCATCTGAATCTTCCTTATTTTCCTCATCTTCACTTTCTCCTGTCTCACAGCTCTGTTTGAAGATCACATTTGTTCTGTACTCTATCTTTGGTTTGGACACTTCTTTTGGTTTGATAGAGAAACTGATTGGGGTTGCTAGAAGAAAAAACAACAACAAAAAAATCACTTTCTGAGATTATTGTCCATTTTATATTCTACATTATAAAATAACATGTTCTTTTTTGGAATTGTAAGATGTGTATATAACGTTGTACATGCCTTTCTCCTTAGAGTGCAAACAATATTACCATGAAACTTTAGTAATACTAAATAGCACAATTTCATGCAAATTCCATTGTTTTCTATTGTTTAACTAGCACTATTTTGTACTATTTAGTAATTAGTGTTTCACGGATTAATTGTTTGCACTCTACCTTTATATAGTCATCTTTGCTTAGCTTTTTTTAACTTTATGATGATGCCACAGAGCGTTGAAAGCTTGTCTATTTCATAGTTTTTTCTTAATGGATTTTAAGAATCTATTAGCTTTGGGTTTTTTAAATCAAAAGCTATATTTTCCTATATTCATATATGAAAATGAATGTCGATCAGTCCAGTGTGGGTGGTCATCATATCAGGTAATTCAGCGACATTTTAGTAGCTCCTAGGTATCTTGATATAGCAGTTACCTACATTAAATGAATAATAGATTATTTACCTGTAGGTTTAGTTTCTTTGGTAGCCGCTTTCCTTCTCTCTTGTTCAATCTGCTCATAAGAAAGCCGCTTCTTGTACACATAATACTGATGGTTCTCATTCCAAGGATGGACAAAAGCAAACCTTGGGTCATTCTTAGTCTTGATGATGTTTTCAAATTCAGGTCCATTTTTGACCACATACATAGCTAGTTTGTCAATAATTGGTTGGATATCAGGAGAGGGTGGTACTATAGGTGCTGGGGCTGTTGACGTCATCATGACGGCTGGGTGTCCACCTATTAGGTGTACGGCATTCTGCATGACACCAGGGTTAATATTATTCTGGGTAGGGTAGTGTGAATGAGGCTGTACATGGTGGACGTGAGTAGCATCTGTTCCTAGCCATTCACCTGTAACAAAGTGAAACAAAATATGCTTGCAAGAAAACCTTAATGGTAAGTTGGTGGAAGAAAATCAGGGATGGCATATAGCGGTAGATGCCTCACATATCTGGAGTCTGCAGTTTGATTCCTGGACTGATACACGTATCATAAAATAATGTGAGTAGAGTTTGTTAGGTCCTTTCCCTTGATTAATGGGGTTTTCTCTTCATTCTCCCATTTTGTTCCCTTCACAAAAAAAATTCACAAGCAAATTCCAATTTGATCTAAGAATTAGCCACTTCCTCAATTTGATCAGCCCAGAGGTTGCTTCATGGTTTGAACTGTGAGTTAGCCATGCCCTGACTTTGATCAGCCCAGAGGTTGCTTCATGGTTTGAACTGT